TTTCTGGGGTGATGCCTTCCAGAGAGGCTATCTGAGCCTTGATCTAGGCGATGGTCTGCTGGCCGGTCACCTACAGCTGCTAGGTGTGGATGCAATGCTGTATGTTGGTGACTGAGCCGAGGCCTCAATTTCTTTATCTCTTTTTAAAAACAGCAAGACCAATTTTGAAAGAATGTACCATAGTTTACAATAGAAATATAAGAACAGTAAGGATAAACACCATTAACAAAATATAAACACTAACACAAGAATGAAAGAATAGAACAACTCTATTTCAAAAGTTCCTACGGACAGAAAAATATTGTGATTGAGCCCAAAATTTAATGTTAATTCTGGTGGAGGAAATTGTAATGACCACAGTGGCAGAAAAACCAAGGATTGTCAGAAGTAGGCCTTTTCCTTGACCTTTGGTTTAGCTTTTTTCTGAAAAAGAAACTTATCTCTGGATCTTTTTATAAGCATAATGTACAATTACTGACAAACAATTTCCGAGAAAATGTAGAAGGCTTTTACATCTTACTAACTTTTATGTCTCCTGTGGCAAATTTATTGAATAAGCTAAGCTCCCAAGAGCTCCCCATTTTTCTCTGACCTCTGCCTTCAAACAAATTCCTAGAATCACCCTTTTTCAATCCTTCATGGCATGATGGATTATAGAGCTTCCTAAGAAAGTTCTCATTTTCAGACTTTGAAGGGTCTAAATCAAAACATTAATCTCATATCCAGTGAAAAGCTTCTTCTCTCCCATCTTAGGCCTTATATGGAAGTTAGGGATCAGAAGGGAAGAAAGTAGGGTTTAATTCTTTCACTGTTGTTCCACATCCTCTTCCATCTTGTTGTTATAGGACCATGGAGGGTGGTAGTACAGGAAGAGGTAGGAAAAAAGAAAAGTAAAAAGGCTGGTATTGTTATAATATGACCATTGATGCCCTTGTCAGGGAAGGAATCCACATACAGGTTACCTTCTGTTCTTCAGAACTCTAAGAGGATTTCTGTATTTCATCATTCCTTGGAAAGGGAGAGGCATGTATCTGCTAAATGCCTCCCAGTTCTTGTCTGTGGAATGCCCACAACCTCTTTCCACCCAGCTCTTCTCAAAACCAAAATGGTCAAGGCTGATCTAAGTGGACCCCAAATGGATAACATAACCCATAGGTGAAACTCCCAAAGAAGGGCCCTCATTTCTCTGGAGGAGGAGAACATGTGTTGATCAAGCTGCCATCCCATTTTTATATTCCCAGTGGCACACAGTAGATTGACAGCAAATATTTATTGAATGAATGAGACTTCTTGCAACTCCAAATTTCAGAATTTGAGGTTGCTACTTATTATCCCATTATTATCATTCAGTAGTTGAATTTCTTGTGTGTTGAAAACTGTATTGAAAAGGCAGAGTTAAAAAAGAGACATTCAATAATGGGAAAGAACTTACATTTGGTTTCAAGCAAGCAACAGAGATAACAGATGCAAGAGAACGAGGAATGACCTTCAAGGGCAAAAGTCAGTGGTGGGGTTTGGCATTTGTGCATGCAGCTGGGCTGTTGCTAGGTCATGAAGGGAAGATAAAACTTAGGTAATGGACATAAAGAGGGAATACAGAGAAAGAAAGGCAAATGGCATCATAAAATGTGAGAAGAATTTATCATATGAATAAATACATTTTATGCAAATACAGATATACTATGCATGGGTATTCTGGAAACAATAAGGAGATGCATCTGGTGAAAACACTTGGGTTTATGTTGGAGATTATTGGAAGTTAAGGCTGGGTAGGTGCTTCAGAGGCAAGTCTTGGAAAGTCTTGAATACTAGGCTCAGAAATAGGCAAAAAGGTGCCATTGACATTCTTGGCCATGTATCCAGCTCAGTAGGAATGGGAGCAGGGTAGATGATATATCATCTCATTAATAAATTTGGTGGTGTGTCTAATTAGGTGCCATCAGGAATTTACCATGGTTGTTGGTTCCCTCTGCATCACAAGCCATGCATTAAGTTCATGGGGCATCGTAGGAAGGGTGGAGGGTCTAGTTTCCAGTTGCTAATGGCTTGTTGTATAAGTAGTATGCACTTACACAGGTGCCAGGCAGCAGTACTTATTGGGTCACTTTTAAATTCACTGCCACCACCCATGGGATTCTAAACATTTCCTCCTAAAACCCAGGGACGTAGCCTTTGTAATCTTCTGCTTCTTCCTTCTTGTGAATTACCAGGCAGCACGCTCTATGCTATAGACAATGAGCATTTTATAGGGTGAGTATTTACAAATTGGACAACACAGGTGCATTAGCCGCTTGGTGGCATAATTTCATATCTAGCTAACTGAAGCTGACAAAAACATGTTACTTGTTCTTAGTAACACTGTTTCTGTTATTCTTTTGAAAACATCTCCTTTTAAAATCATGTTCTAGGGCAATCACTCAGTCCCCTCCCACTATAGGAGCTTTTCTATCTTCTCAATAAATCTTACTCTCTCAAAAAAATAATAATAAAAATGAAATTATGTCCTTTTCCAAATTAAATGATTTGCACCCTTAAAATTGACTTGAGATTTGGCATTAACCAGCAGTGTGTAAAAATTTAGGTAAATCAGTTGACCTTCTTAAGGTCTGTTTTCCATCTAGTTTGGGTTGGGTGATCTTGACTTGTCCTCTCAGTCCAAAGTAAGAAAATGTCTATTAAGTCTCTGAACTATTAGGCACTATAAATATAAAGGGTAGATATTTCTCTTTGTAATTTTTCTCTGATTTCTGGATCCCTTCAACTGCCTCTAACACTCCCACCTCATGCATATCCTGGATGAGTTTTTCATTGCATTTTACTCAAAAGAAGATAGAGTCCTAAAAATATTTAACAGTTTCTGGAATAGTGTCTGTATATATGATGGCAAGGTAGGGGGTGTTCTTTTTTTCCCTGTTCTCTATTTATATACACATGAAGAGAACAGTTTTTATTTCCTTCAGCAATATGAGATTTTAGAACATGCAAGGCCTCATCTGGATATGAATATAAATGAAAAGTAACAGTGCAATCCAAATTCCAGTGGCTCTTGTCCAACCTATTGCAGCAGGATTCCAAACCCTTGCAGCCCACCTCCCCTCCAGCCTCCTAAGCATTCCTGGGAATCTCTGTTCAGAATACAAAATGCCAATGTGTACCTTTAAATTTTTTTTTTCTGTTCTGGTTCACTTCAGGTGGTTCTAACCCTCCTTCTCAGATGTTCCAGCAAGCACCAGGTTGGCCATCTACTGCAGTTGGACCATTGGAGCTTAGGACATGCCAAGGCTGACAGGGTGATGCTGTGGAGTGGGACCGTATGCTTCATTCCCCTTTCTGTGCAACAGTGAGGGTGTTGCTGAGATATGCCACCAAGCATAAAGTCTTTGGTGAAAGTGGTCTTCCAGTTTTTACTTACATTTTGTATCTTCCATTTTGAATATGAATTTGACTCAGAGACAAATCAGTGTGACAGACCCAGGACCAGATCAGAATTTTGATTCTCTTCCAAGCAGTGAGCCTTTTTATACAATTAAGTTTGAGATACCTGCATTCTTTTCCCCATAGGATAGTTTACTTTCAGGAGATGTTTCTAATAGCAGATCCAGAAGTTCAGTTTACTTGACAAGCCCAATATATGTAAAAGGTGAACCACATTATATTATGAATCCCTGGCACCTGAATGTTGTAAGAGGTACAGCTGGCTTTAGGAAACATAAGTTGGTAAGTGCCTGGGTTAGACAGAGGTTGAGACCCAAAGGCCTGGATATTAGACATTACCAAGACACATGGCTGCTATTGGGAAAAGGTGAAGAGGAGAGATGTAAAGAGAGAGATGCCCTGGGGAGAAGGTGAAATGGGGTGCTGCAAGGGAAGAGAAGAAGAGGGAAATCTATTAGATGGGAAGTTGGAAAGGACATCTAAAGGACAGGAATGTCTCATAGGTCATTTGTAAGTGGTTACTCTGTGATTCCTGTGTTCCCATTCATTTGGGGAGGGCTTTGAACTGACACAGAACACAGTATAAAAGAGTACAGAAAAGTTAAGCCAAAGCCATTCAGATGTTATGAAGAGGGATTTCTGGCTGACATTTGGGTTATATATGGCAAAAACAAACAAATTCTATGTTTCAATATCGGAATCTTTCCAGAAAGTTCACTCTACCTTATAGCACTACAGAAAGGCAAGAATTGAACCAATAGAAGTCATGTGTAGTAGATACAATTAAATAGTCAATATTTGAAGAAATATTAAGGATGAACCTGGGTTGAGTAAGTGGACTGCTATTCTGAGGAAGAGTATAATGCCTTGGCAGAAGGAAATTAAAGAAGAGTGAAATTTTGAATTGAGTTTCAAAGGAATGAAGGCATAGTATTTGAAAGATAAGCAAATAAGAAAATTTGCTTTGTTAGATAAAAGTTCAGAAGCAGCAGCATCGAGAGAAAGAAGGGGAGAGAAGAGAGAGAGAGAGGAGTAAGAGAGAAGAGAGAGGAGAGAGAGAAGAGGGAGGGCGGAGAAAGAGAGAGGACAAGACATTTTCTTGACTAAAGAAAGTGAATTGAGGTTTAGCATAAGGAGAATTCAGGGCATGAGCAATGAGTTCTTGTAGATATGAATTCATATTAATGTGTGAAGTAATTGACAAATATGGGAAGGTAACACATTGTGTAGACACCATGATTTTGACTGTCTTGTGTAGAATATAAAAAGGGTTTAAGATTCCAGAGTTGTCAAGGAGTAAGGAAAGATGAGAAAGACTGGAGAAAGCAAGGACCAACCTGAGGGTAGTGGAAGAGAAAAAAGGAGTGAAGTAGAACAGAGAAATGATTGACTATTTAGAAATAGATGACCATGGAGGGTAAAAGAAAATGACCTGCATTCATGGTGAGTCACTATCATATACAAGATTGATGAGAGCAGTCCTGGTTGTTGGCATTATTTGTGTCCTTGCAAATTCTCACTTGCCCTGGGATCTTGTACTCTGTGCCTCAGGCTGTCTCTGGGCCTCAGCACTTTACCTTTAGAAACTTTTTCAACGTAGGACTACTCAGCATCAGTGAAGCAGAATGAATAGAGACTACAGCATAGATGACAACTTCCCATAGCCAGAACCAAGATCCTGTATCAAATAGAGAGCCTATAAGGGTGAGGAATATGACCATAAAGTAAGAGGTGACGAAGATAAGAAAGATGACAAGAGACCTCAGGGCAGTGGAGTGCGCTTTCATGCTGGGGTCGCAGTGGCCAGTGTTATGATGCTGCATCTGCTCCAAGTGCTGGACCAGTGAGGCCATGAGAATGATGGTGGAGGCCAGGAACAAGACAAAAGGAGTAAGCAGTGCAACTATTGTGTGAGGCTTGATATACGAGTGCCGAAACATCTGAAGTCTCTCAATCATAGTGCTGTTTCTGGGTAAATGCTCCATGAGGAATTGAATCCGAATGTGATTAGTAATAGCTGAAGGGATGCTTGTCACAAAAGAAACCACAAGAGAACCTAGTAACAGCCATGGAACCAACCTCAAAACTCTCCACCTCAGCCACTGAAAGATGGGGTGGGTGAAAGAAGAGACCTTGACACAGTAGAAGACAGCAAGCAAGCTGGTTATCCAGAATGTAAGAATATTACCAAATTCCCAGATGATTGATAAGTACCAAAATACATAATTAGGGTTAAAGTAGCAGCAAAAATTGAACAGCATTGATGAAAACTGTAAAAAGAAGTGACAGATGCCTAGGTTGGTGAGAATCATATCCACAGGTGACAATCTTTTGACCTGCAGCCATTCTCTGCCCAGTACTAAAATAATCAAACTGCTCTGCATGATAATTGCCAAGGACTCGAGCCCATAGATGATCATGAAGATGACAGTGAATTGGATAGCTATCATTCTTCTATTCCAAATTTTCTTCCTGGACAAAGACTCAGAATCTCTGCTTCAGTTTCCGATAGGGAACAGGCTCTTGATGTCACTGCTGTCTGGTGCAAGAAAGCACCTCCCTCTGGATACAAATTTTCCCCATCTCGTTTTTAACTTTGCCATTTTCCTATCTGCGGGATTTGTTTATGCTTTGTTTGCTGACTTGCTATCACATCTGAATGTAAGGAAATATTGTTTGAATATGTAGTCCTTCTCCTGAGGTGATTTGCATATCCCCGTAAAGATGTATCTATTTTATAACCCTGCTGTTTATTTCCTCTTTATCTGTCTGAGGTGCACTTAGTTTATTTCCCCGACTTCTTTAAACGATGTCTTCACACCTTTAACCTAAACTTTGAGCCACAAGAAAGATAAATCCCTGACTATCTGTTCATGGCCTGAATAAGTTTTCTCTCCTGCCGAGTGCTGCACCAGTGCCGCCCTCAGAAGCCCTGTCTTTCCAGTTTCTGCAACAGCTGGTGGTGAACGCCAAGACCAAAGTGTGAGGGTAAATAAAAATGATAATACAGTCTTTCCTCTGTGATTCCACCCACAGTATTGCTAGAAGTTCAGACCTTCAAGTATCCCCATCCGATGCAGGCTGCTTTCATAACTCCCCACTGAATTTTCCAGTTCAGGGAAATCAAGCTGTAGAGAAATCACTGCACACAGCCCCTCTTAACTATTGTTCTTCTGCCAATTTCAAAGCCTTGAGCATATACTTTATATATTTTTGGACATTGTTTTTGTCCCATTAGCATCACTGTTTTTTTTTCTCCTTACGCACCTAGGTTCTTTTTGTCATTGCTTCCATCCCTCATGATGAATCGAAAGAGGACTCTCTTACCTCTAGTAAAACACCTTACTTCTAATTATGCAGGAATTATTTCATCGCTATACAAGCAGGCTAGAGAAGAGATACATTTTTCTTTCAGTTCAGGACAACTCTACTAGATAGACACCAACTATTTAATTAGTGGCTTCAGAAGTGAGAGGTGATCCTAATAATTGCTATTATGTGAGGGAGATGAAGTGAGAGTCATTGATCCCATGTATGTATGATAAACCTCAAGTCTGTAAGGACGTTTAAACATTCAAGGAAGAGTGAACAGAGGTAAGGCAACATGAATCCTTGAATTCTTGAATATAAAACAAGAAACTACTGAACACATGACGTAAAAGTAAGAAATAACTTTAAAAATTATACCAGAAAACAGAATTAAATATTAGAAAGCATCTGCTTTGCATTCCCCATAACATGAAAGAAATAGGAAATAAAAAACCCAAGATAACAAAACAATAGTTTGTAACTAAAAGATGAATGAATCAGGGCGGATCCAGACATAAGAAGGGAGAAAGATGAGACATGAGATATGTTGGTATATGAAATATGCAACAATAACTTTAGTATCTGCCTTATGTCTGGGATACATTGAGCGTATTGCCTGCTATTTGTGCCGCCTCACTCTAAGTAACCTAAGAAGGACTATGATTTTCTAAACCTCTGTCTGAGGAGTTCTGGCAGTGCAGCCACCATACCACACCCCTCATGCCTGAATACCAGCCATAACGGTTTGACCGGGAGTGCATGTCTGCCCAAGGAAGCCTCTTATAGGCTGGCCTACAGCATGAGAGATGGCCTGGCACTGCTCTTCTCCACAGGAGCGTTCTCTATGTGATAGTGGTCAACTAAATAACCCAGATACTCTTTTTGGGAAAGTGTGAATGTGAGACATACAGAATGGGCTCATCAACAGGTAACTGATGTTCCCTGGGATTAGGAGTTTAAAGGCTGGCTCTTGTGTCCTGTGGGCAGGTAAACCCTCCAGGACCATCTTTGGGGTCTCCCTGCTGCAGTGATCCCAACTTGGCTTGCCCTCTTCCACTTTTCTTTAGCTCTCACCCTTAGCCTTTGCCCTTATCAGGCTGGTGCTTCTTTCCTATGAACCAGTCCCATTTGGCCAGGTGCTGAAGCTCTGCTACCTTCTGCCTTGTACACTCATCTGTGGCAAACTTAGGCGTTCTGGCCAGACAAGGTGATGGTGGGCAGGTTGCCTATGGCGTGTCCCCTCTCCACTCTGTCATCACTCCAATTCTCTTTCTCCATTCTTGGATAGACATGAGGGAAGGCATTCTCTCCACCCCTGCCCCCCAGTTTGTTTTCTAATATGTCCAACTGGGGAAGGAATGCCAATCTTTCCTGATAGGCATTTGCAGTCATCACTGCTAGAGGTGAATTGCTCCCAATTTAATTATTTTAACATACACCTAGTTTTTTTCTAATACTTTATACCTTCGCCCTGGAAGAGATACACTGCTTTTCAAAATTTTATTATCAAATTTGATATGAGTAATCTGCCTAATTCTAGATTCTATTGATATCAAGCAAACATATATATATTAATACAAAATAAATGGAATATATTTCTAGGTACTAATATTTATATATATTATATGTGTGTGTATTTATGTATCGGAAAATAATTAAAAATAGGAAAATAAAAGAACAGGCAATTCACCAAAGTGTAAACAATAAATGCACGAAGAAAGTCTTAACCTCACTACTCATCAGACAATACACAAACAATATTAAGGAAACACTTTTCATCCTTTACATTGCAAAAACAAAATAACATTTGAATAATATCAGATCTAAGAGAAGACATGGAAAAAACATAGCCTTTATGCACTGTTCGAAGAAATGTAAAAATTAATATAGTTACATTGAAAAGCAATTTGGTCATGTTTAATAGAAAATTTACAGACCTACTCTACAGCCATTTTACTTCTAGATCTATATTGTATATTATAGAATAGTCCTTACACATATACAATAAAAGAAGAAATTTACTAATCTAATTCAGATTGTTTGTAGCACTAAAAGACTAGAAACTATATAAATGACCATCAGTTGAGGAATCGATAAAATGTGGTGTAGTCGGCTTAAACTCACACAGATATTTGTTTGCTTTCCCAAAAGCCAGTTTGCTACATTTCGCCCCCTAGTTGGTAGAATTTGTCTCTTTCTGAAGAGATTTTAAATGCCAGACTCTTAGTTTAATGTCTCCTTTGCATTCTCAGTTTGGGCATGAGAATCAATTCTGAGCTCTAGAAACAGAGGAGAAGCCTGCTGAAACCTGCTGTGACAAATGTTTCTCTCTGACAAGAACAGAGAGATTCACAAGGACAAACTCTCTTCTCTGCTCATCCTGTGTTGAATGTTGTCTTGTACTTGTGCATGATTTTGGGAGCAGTTGTAGCCATTTTGTGACTCCAAAGGGAAAACAGGGAAAATTGCAAAGAAATCAACACAGAGCCTGATGGTGTCCAACGCTTACTATTATTTTTTTATTTCAATAGCTTTAGGGGTACAAGTGGTATTTGAATTGAACACAGATGAATTGTATAGTGGTGAAGTCTGTGTTTTTAGTGTACTACCTGTCACTGGAACAGTGTACACTATACCTTAGACGTAAAATTTTATATCTCACTTCCTGCCCTCTTTCTCCTTTTCTACATCCCTAATATCCATTTACCATTCAAATGCTCATTAGTACTGGACTTGAATTCCTGCAAGTTGTATTTTGTTTTTAATTGACAAACAATAATTGTATAAAAATTATAATTTTTGAGGTACAATATGTTTTGGTACATGTATACTTTGTGGAATGATCAAATCAGGCTCTGAAATACTGTTTTGTGAGCAGAATACACTCCTATAATTTAAATCACTTAGAAGCTTTGTGACTGTGCATATGGGATAACTTCAAGGAGAGGGACAGAAAATGCCTTATATGACAATATTTTTGTTTTCTTACTAAGGAGTGTATACTTTTAATTGAATATACTTATTTCTGTGCTGCTGTACAGCAGCAATAGGAACTAATACATACACCAACTATAAGAACCAAATGCTAGTATTACTTTATTTGTAATTTATAGGTAGCTATGTGTAGTAACTACTAGTATAATGAATTCATGTACAGGGCAAATGCCAAAAAAGACAGAAGAGACTAAAACTACTAAGGCAAATCAGGTTACACAAAAAGGCAAAGATAGGCAGGCTATTTAGTAACTTCACTTGGAGAGCTTTAAAAACAATAACTGAGGCCGGGTACCATCCATGATATTACGATTCTTCTGGGGTATAGCTCGTTGCCAGGACTTACAGAATCACCCCATCTGGTTCTGAGGGGGCAGCTCAGTTTGAGATTCATTGCTTCAAAGTCACCTCCTTGGAGAAAATACCCTGCATGTGTAATGAGATGAACAAAACTGCTATGTATACGTTTACCTTGAAAATCATCTGTAGGGCAAAGTGAGTTGTTAATTTTATAAGTGTTTAGCAGTTGGAAGAATTGCAAGAGTGTCCAGTTCTCCAGAAAATATTGTTTAGTGATCCATACTATGACAATGACACTTTTTAAGTACAATTTTATCCCTAAGTTCAAACATTTAATGTAAATCTTGCTGGAGCTTTCTTTTCCAATTTCATGAATATGCGTCATGATCTTCTGATATCACCAAAAAATCTGGTATGTTGGTTATGCTAGAAAAGCTACCCCTTTTCTGTGACGACAAATGAAATGTTTACTGCTACATACTGTTCTTCAATGTTTTCAAAACATTCATCAACTCCATGTGTGCTTTAATTATCTAAGAGCATTGGGACCAGCATCTTATACAGATGTAGCACCATGGCTTCTAAACAAAGACTTCTTCTCTGAAAATCCTATGACAATTTACACTCCGTATAGTCACCTGTGTTATATAAACCCAGAGATTTGCTCCTACATACAGTAGGGAAAGCTTCTCTTCAGCCTGTGATTCAGTCTCATTTTTCTCATTATATATTTCTGTTCTGTGGAAGGAGATTGCATCCATCCTTCAAGACTGTTGGAAAAACGATTTTATCCTCATCCTAGAATGAACAGCATACTTTGTGTATCTCTTTTCCCTTTCTACATCTC